GAGGCAGTTGCTGGCAATGCCAGGCCTTCTATAGGCTGCATGCAACAATGTCCAAATTGCATGCAGCCTTTCCACGAGACTTCAAAACTTTCCAAAGCCTTGCAAGAAGGCCACATGTGAGTTGGACAAAGGTATGCAATATTTGGAGAACAGTGCAAGTGGCCTCAAGAAAAAGGTCTGGTATGGCCAGTAGCTTGCAAAGAGCCAGGATGGATGTATCTCATCAGCAATGAAATGAAGATGACAAAGGACAGCTGGTGTGGTGGAGTGCTGGGTGGTTAGGGGTCTTGGAGTGCAGAGCACTGTGGGCAGTTGGGCTGGGGCAGCTGGAGCTTTCTGGGATAGCTGGAGCTTCCGGGAGACCTGATTGCTTTGCTCTATTTGGGTTTCTTGGACATTTAGTGATTCCCTATGTATGAGGGTGCACAAGAAGTGCCATGCAGGTCAGGGAAGCAATGTGAGAGGGTGTGTGGATCAAAAAGGATTTATGGAGGTGCCCAAGAAGTGCTGTATAGGCTGGAGGAGGTGCAGCATGGGTTGGAAAAGGTGGGTGGGCATACACAAGAGATGCCTCATAGGTCAAGAAAGGCCTATCAGGACACCATGATTTGAATAACACTGAGCATCATCCTCCAAAATACAGATTCAAAAATTCTGAGTCCTTCAAAGGCCAAGACAAAATCATATCTGTTTTTTTCTTTTCTCACATTAAAATTGCAATTTAGTGGCAACTTTTAAAAGATCTTTATGTGTTTCTCTCCCAAAATATCCATGCTAAAAGTGGCCATCCCTGCAGTTATTACATTACTGTTTTATGAAAGGTGTCATCAGTTTTATATAAAGCAGATTTCTTATAAATAGATGACAATCTCCTCTCCATGTAATACAGATGTCTCCTAACCATATTGGGTAGTCAAAAGTATGCACACTTCATTAAACAAACAATCCTGATTTGTTTCTTTTCTTTTTTTTGTAAGAGTTTTATTGATTTTTTACAATAACAACCTTAGTGCCTGGTGTACAGCATGTTGTCTTGGTTCATGATTTTTTTTAAAAAATATACAATCAATAATAGTTAATTAACAATCAATAATAATTAATTTTTATATTTCCATAATTAGTATATAAATTGATAATATATTTCCTTGATCCTCTCTTCTCCCAATAGTATTCTCCTTCTTCAGCATTAAACAAATATAATTTTTGATATTTGATATTTTCCATATATAAGTGATTAAATAAAAACATTTTCTTTTATATTTATACCAACAATAATAGCATCCATATGTAGCATTTTTTTCTTATCAACTTATGTTCTTTTCGTAAAAGTCATCTTATTGATTCACCATACATCATTATTTTCATAAATCTTGTTTAAGCTCAATTTTTCCATAATATTCAAACAATTCTTATCAATCATACTTTTCTCAGTAATTAACACCTAAATATCCAAATTTTCCACTTAAATATATCATCCCAGTATTTTCATATTTCATATATTATAGAAATACTATACTACTAATCTAACATAACATCTACCTATAACATCTTTTCCTATCAATTTATATTTCACTTCTATTTGTAAAAATTGATTGAATCACTATATATCTTTTTTTCAAAGTTCTTATTAAGTCTAATTTCCTCTCAATATTTCAATCATTCCTTAATCCTAAATCTTTTCAAACTTAATTTGTCTTAAAGTTCAAACTTTTCCTTCATTTACATCATCCCAATATTTTTACCTTTTGTATCTTATCTAAAAATACTATATTACTTATATTTCTTATCCCACTTTCTAAAGCCCCTTTATAGCCAAAGTTATTTGTTTATTTAGCTTGCTCGTATAATATTCCATCTGGTATGGTGAGTCAAGTATCTTAAGCCCGTCTCTAATCTTCTTCCTTTGCCAAATTGTTTTCCAAATTCATATTTTTGACTTGTCAAACAGTTCTTGTATTTTTGTAGTTGTTGTTAGGAGTAGAGGATACAAAATACGTAAGATGTATGCTTTTTGTCTTCCAAACAGTGATTCTCCTAGCAGTGTCCATTTTGTTAAGTCTTCTTTCTTCTCAAGTTTATTTTGATGTTCTAATGGATAAGGTATCTTTTCCATATTTATTGTTGTATCCAAATCTTGTGAGTTTTTTCTTGTTTGTATTAAGTTATAATTCCCTTCATTTGTGAGTTCGCCAATTAAGTCATTTTTTTCTAGTTCACATTCTGTTATCTGATTTGTTTGTTCATTCTTTACCATCATTCTTTGGATGTTTTTTTATTGTAAATTTAAGTTAGAAGTGTATTCATTTATCTTATCAAAGTTATGTTTAATCTCCTTATGGTTTAGAGCTATTGTGATTTGTATTTGTTGTAGCATTGCATAAATTTCTTCTTGGAAAGTATTTGTCTTGTCTTGAAATATTGCTTCTAGAGGTCTTTGATTTTTCCAGCTGAATCCTTCAACAGTAGATATTAAGTGTGGTTTTCTATCATTTTTTGATGAATCTGTCATATCCATGTTATCTCCCCCTTTTGAGTAATCCGTCATAAGTGCCAAAGTCTCTGTAATTAGCTTTGTCAAGCTGGCCAAAACTCAAAATCCAAACAGTCCTATTTTGTATAGTTCTTGTCTTTATATATAATTTTTATAATCCACTGTAATTTTCAATTGTCAAGGTTTCAGTAAAATCAATGTTTTATAACAGTTCTTTCTTTCAGGAGTCAATTGTCAACCAGTCAGAATTACAATTCAATATATTTAGCCACCTTGAATCCTTCCTGTAGCTTTCCCTCTCAAAAATTAGTCATAGATCAAAGTTTTTAAACAGTTCATAAATTTAGACCACAAAATATTTCTTTTCCTTCAAACACTTTCCAATCTTGTAGCTGGCCCAGTGTACAATCTCTTCTTTGTTCCCTGGCAACTATCTTCTTAAAGATTATTAGAGTTCATGGGAACAGATTTTTCTTTGTTTCTGGCGTTGTCTTTGATGTGCTATATTCTAAATGTTCACTAATGTCAGCAAATATTTGTTTTCCAGCTCTTTCAGACAAGAAGTTGTTATTATTTTTCTTATTTTTATAGTTTCATCAAAATCCTTTAGAATATAATCTTAGCAGTTTGTTTTAGTTTCTAAGTTTGATCAGATTATAGTATTTTAAATTTAATTTCAATGTGTTTCTTTCCTCCTTAAAGGTTAATTTGCTGCTTCCGTTTATGTGGGAATGGGAATGTAGTCCCCTCCTCTCACTTTTGGAGGTTTTTTGCTTTGGGGATCTTTCCCAGGGACTTAGTTGCAAAATAAGGGAGAGAAGATCAAATACTCTCACCAATTCCAAGCACGCTGTTCACCGTTGTTCTGGTCAGTGCTCTTGGATTTCGGCTGCAGATAGCTTGGGCTAGATGCTGGCATGCCGCTAGCCTTTCTCCTGTTGGGTTCAGAGGGCTTCCCCCGGATCAAACTAAGCGATTGTCGTCATTTCGTGATCAACGGGGCTCCCCTCCTTCACGGTCACCTCTTTGGGGCGACTTCGGACCCATCCAGGGTCCCCCTAGCAGGACGAAACTAGCCATGAGGAGCGGAGGTCCGCTCTCGGCAGCCATGCGCTACGGGTGCAAAACTGGAATTCTCCTGATTTGTTTTTTGATTACTGTAACTAAAGTAATTAATTTTTATGACAATCATTTTTCTTGAGACAAGAGCTGTTCTTTTATTTTCTGTAAAAAGCAAGCATTTATAGCAGTGCCCGGAATATTGTGATATAATCAAACCAGGCAATGTTGTTTTTACTTTTGGGGCCATAATCGAAATAAAATTAACTTCAGCCAGGCCATGAAATATCATGCAGACTTACTACATAGCAAATTCACAGTAAACTAGATGGTATTTTGTTGAAATTCAAGTATTTTAGGGATCCTTCCTGTAAAAGTGGAAAGTTTTTTATAATTATCATTGTGCGCAGATGCATGCACAAAAATAATGCAAGTAAGAAAGGGGTGTAGTACAAAATAGAACTAGTTTTCCTATTCAAAACATACTTTATTCATGATACAAGTTACTGACAGATAATTAGATTAGATTGTTTGGGTATTTATTCTGCATCATTCTAAACACTTGTGTTAAAATGTGAAGTCAACTTTAATCTATCTGAGAATGTGAATAGCATTAGGGAATCAAAAGGCCTTTCAATGCTCAATACTTAATTATTTGTAATATTATTTTTGGTCATCAAATATATTTCTCTCCATCCTGGTTTAGTATAGTGTGCAAATTTAGACTGCATTATGATTCTGCACAATGACCATGTTGATACAGTTCAGCGATGTCTGAAACTATAGGTTCTGCTTACTTTAAGATTGCCTAGTAATGTCAAATTTGAACTGGACTTAGTTGAAATCTTAATTCTAGATTTGAACTACTCACCTTTCAAGACATATGACTATTTCCATTATCCCCAGGCTACCTGAAAATGCTATATCTAGTTGCTAGGAGTTGTAATCCTAAATATCTGGAGTATCACTGAGGAAGACTGCTATAATAAACTATAATTTTAAAATGTTCAGAATTGTATGTACATGTGCACGTGCATGTCTATGTCTATGTTCTTGCTTAAGCAGGGGGAGTTGTACTAGAAGACTTCAAAGGTTCCTTCCAACTCGGTTATTCTGTTATGTATGTATGTATATGTGTATGTGTATGTGTATGTGTGTATATATATATATATATATATATACACATACACAAGTTAACATATATATAGGTTAACTTGCTTTACTTAATAGGCCATTTAGATCATTATTTTCAACAATAAATTGATAGCACATATTATCAATCATTAGATAAATATTTATGTAGAAAATTGATATATCATTGGAATGAAATACTCTAAAAGTACTAGTTAACTGAAATAAGTTAAAATTTTATTTCATATTATAAATGTGCATTGGAGGTTATGTTGTGATAGGCATAAATAATGATATTTCCTTTCTTTTTTATGCTCAGAAAAAGCCACTAACTGCAATCATCAAAGAAGTCTGTGATGGGTAAGTTCTGTTTTCTACTGTTATTTTTATAATTCCCAAATGCACTGCAGATAATAAATTTGGTCCTCTTTGTAGTTAATTCAACCATCTCAGATTAAGGAATTCAGGCTGCTATTGCTTTATACATTCAGTTTTTTTAATCTTATATTAAGGTGAATATGATTTTCATTGTACTGGGTCCCAAATTTTCCAAATATACTAGACAGCCCTGAAAGTTATATTAGACAAAGAAAGAAACATAGCCTGAGGTTATCCAATAAGCATTATGGTTGAGTTGGAATTTGATGTTTTTGTGTAGCTGTATAAAGCAGGTTTGTTCAATTACCCATAGTATTGGGAATTATTTCACACTATTATAGAGATGGAATCAAGTGGAACATTGCCCACAGTGGCAGCTAGCTGTATTCTTGGACTTACATATATTATCCCATTAAATTTTATAGGGATCCTTTTGAGAACTTCAGATATGGAAGATGAAATATTTTAAACATTAATTTATTGCCCAATCTGGCATTAAGAAAAATAGATTTGTTATATGTGATCTTTTGTTTTAACGTTATGGAATTGTAATAAGAGGTGGATATCCACTTTCATATCCAATTTGGGGAGAAGGGGAGAGAGAAGTGTACTGTTCAGATCTAGCAAGCCATAAATCCTAATTTAATATGATTTGAAATGGCTAAGCTCAAGCTTAGATATCCTGCAAGGCAAGTTCATAACTTTCTTTAGGTAAGGATGTGTTGATTATTTGAATCACTTAACCATAGTTGTAGATTCAACTAGTATATGCACCTATCTCTTCCCAGTTCTTTTTAATTCACACATATGTGTACTGCATCAGCAATATGAAAATTATCCATAATATTGTTCATTTAGGCAGAATGTGGTCAATATCATCTTTAAGGATATTTTAAAGTTGTATTATAAGTGTACCTTTATGCTCTGTTATCAAAATGATAATTAAATGGTGAAGGGAAGGAAAAGTTGTTCTTAATATTCTCCTTTCTGTGCACATTTTACTAATGTATATCTTTGTTTCTTATAAGGTGGTCTCTTGCAAACCATGAACATTATGCACTGCAACATGCTGATAGCTCCAATTTTTATATTACTGAAAAGGTAAATAAATTGATTTCTAGTCAATTACTGTGTGGTCAATTAAAATAAGTACCGTAATCTAAATCACTTTTAATACAAACAATGTGGTTTTACAACTAATACCTAGGAAGCTATTTATACATACACTTATCCCCATTTACCCATAGAGAGTATAAGTGATTTACTAGTATTGGAAAACATAATCAAACAATAACAATAAACACAAATAACATCAAATTTCTTATTATATTAAACTCATATAAATGTAAATGGCAATTGACTCCCAAAGATCTTCTGGAAAATCCAATTTTACCAACTTCCAGAAGATATGTAAATAGAACTTGTTTCCTCAGGGGGACAAACAATTTCATAGGAGGTGGATTTTCGACAAAAAAGCACTCATTGTCAGTGTTCCTCCCATTGCATCTCATGGGAGATAAAGATTGTGAGTATGTGGCTGTCTGGATCAGGCAGGCAAAGCCATCTAGGAAAGACAATTTGTGCCTTCATCCTACACACACATTGACACACAAAAAGTCTGAGTATTTGTTTCCTCTAAAAGTAGGTATGAATAAGTTGGCATCTTTACCCCACTCCCCTCCAAAAATGCAGAATTCGTACATAGGGCTATAATGAATTTTCAGTATTTGATTCTAAATGCCCAAAAATAATGTTCCCAATTAATCCACAATCAATTGAATATATGTTAACGTTGTGAATATACAACCCATTAAACTAGAACTAATACATTTTTGTAACAAAATCACAAAATCTGTAATGAAAGGTCGTTCTTGCTAGGTGCGACCAGCAAGATAGATGAACCCATAATAGCTGGAGTTCCCAGTGCAGGTATTCTCTTTGGTCACAGGTGGAACACCTGTCATCGTAAGTGAAAAGACTGGTTAGTGGACTCCGTTCCAATCTAAAATGAGAATTATTGATCAAGACCCCTGCTGAAGGTCAGGGCAAACAGTTATGAACTTTGGAATTTATTCAACCCCATCGACATATGTTCCACTGAACAGAAAGAGAACTTCTAAACATTGCATAAGTTAATTGCCAGCATCTCCTTTTGGTTCCCAGGCTTTCTGGTCCCAGGTGAGCAGACCTTTTGTCCTGGTATTTTCCAGTCCTTTTCATGAAGAAGTCTGGAGAGAAAGCAGAATTTGTGCCTTTCTTTGATATTCGTTCGTTCATTCATTCATTCATTCGTTCATTCATTCATTCATTCATTCAGTTTCCATGGCTGCCCATCTTAGTCAATGATTTCAGGTGACCTACAGTTCAAAAAATTATTACAGTGAAAAATATTAAAAATGTTTTTTAAAAATAAAAACACTAAAATATCCAAATTAAATATACATAGAAGCAATATTTTTGACCAGTTAGCAATATAGCTAGGAAATGAGGTCCTTGACACATTCGGCAGCCCGGGCTCAGTAATATACCCAGGTTTTTAGCGCCTTATGAATAGCTAACAGAGTTGGGGCCATTCTTATCTCAAGGATTGTCATCAGTACTGGAGAGTGAGAGAGAGAGATGTGAACGAGTGAGCGTTTATTATGGTCAAAGATCAGAGTCCATAAGAATTGGAGTACTGTCCCTAATGAAGTGGTTGTCTCTCTTACTGAATTTTTGAATCAATGCTTTGAAACTGATAACTTGCTGATTATGCAGTTATTGATCACTTTTCAAACTAGTAAAGCTAGAACCAGTTCATAAGGTGAATTTAGGAACATACAGCAGAATAATTGTTAGAATATGAGGCTTAAAATTGGCAGTATCAATTGTTATAAATGCTTTTGTTATAGATAGTTCTCTACTTATGACTGCAATTTAACCACATATTTGCGGTGCTGAATGAGACATTCGTTAAGTGAATTTTGCCCCATTTTGTGACCATTCTTGCCATAGTTCTTAAGTGAATCACTGCAGTTGTTAAGTTAGTAACAAGATTATTAAGTGAATTTGGCTTCCCCATTGATTTTGCTTGTCAGAAGGTTACAAAAGGGGATCACATGATTCTAGAACACTGCAACGATCATAAATATGAGCCCATTGCCAAATGTTCGAATTTAGATCATGTGACCATGGGGATGCTGTAAGGATCATAAGTGTGAAAAACAATCATAAGTCACTTTTTTTAATACCGTTGCAACTTCAAACAAACTGTTGAAAATTGAAGACTACCTATACTTAGTTCCAGATAATGATGATCCAGCCATCTTGAAACAAGGTAAAAATTTGATGTTTTACTAAGGGGCATAATATATGACATTTTATGGAGATTTCTTTACCATTATGTAACTGATACCTCCAAATGGTGATTTCTTATTAAACCAAATATTATATCATTTAGTCTCCTAATATATTTGTATCTAGCCCCTGAAGGGAAACAGGAAATACTGTACATAAAACACAATAAATAAATAAATAAATAAATAAATAAATAAATAAATAAATAAATAAATAAATAAATAAATAAATAAATAAATAGTAGAGTATGAGGCATCTTCAGATAATGCCATTAGTGACTGTACATGTTCAAATAAAGTATACATATATTCTAATAAAATTTGGTAATTTTTCAAATGACTTTTTCAAGTGAGATGGTTAAAGGGTAGTAATATATTACTAGGCCAACTTTGATTTTTTGTTAGAGAGGGAAATGCATATTTCAAATGAATATCTTTGTAACTTTATATCTTTGGAGAAATATTGCATGCCTCCCACCCTGTACGCCTCTACCTCTGTCTGCTGCCAATGCTGTCGCCGTGCCTGCTGCTTGGAAGGCCAGCCAGTGGTTGCAGCAGGTTGTGCAGCCCCAGAGTGTGCTGGCTGAGGGGCCGGCAGGCTGTGGCTACTGCTGGGAGTCAAGCTGTTCTCCAAAGCACCTGAAGGCAGGACAAGAAGCAACGGATGGAAACTAATCAAAGAGAGAAGCAACCTAGAACTAAGGAGAAACTTCCTGACAGTTAGAACAATTAATCAGTGGAACAACCTGCCTCCAGAAGCGGTGAATGCACCAACACTGGAAGTTTTTAAGAAAAGACTGGACAGCCATTTGTCCGAAATGGTATAGGGTTTCCTGCCTGAGCAGGTGGTTGGACTAGATGACCTCCATGGTCCCTTCCAACTCTATTATTATCATTATTATTATTATTATCATCATCATTATCATTATTATTATTATTATTATTATTATTATTATTATTATTATTATTATTATTATTACTATTACTTTGTCAAGTAGGTTATCCCTATAAAAACTATTAATATAATATAATGAAGATACAAAAAAACCTTGCCTGTCCTTTCTTTTTTCCCCCTAAGGTACCCTCACATACTTCTTATTAAACTCCATATTGCCAAATGCACAAAACCAGTGTCCTCATTGCCCTTTTATTCAACTGCATCAAATAATGCAGTGACATGTTAGAATAAGCATTACAGCCAATGATTCCTCTTTGGGTGTGTAAAAATGTGCTCTGATTGTCCCAGTTTTCATCAGGCTCAAGCTGCCCCAGTTAAAGTACAATCTAGAAGCCAGAAACAATTGTTGGAGAATCATGTGAGGCAGAATGAAGGAGCCAACTAATTTAATAATTACTTTATGATTAATCATGAGCTATTGAAAAGATTTTCCCTTTTAAAGTTGGTCTTTAGCTGTTATTCTATAATTGACCCATTCACTCTGATGAACAAAATATAGTTGTTATATGCCTGACTTTTTGTTTTATGTGGTACCACAGTTTCTCCGTTAGGAATGAAAAAAGGAAATTGAAAGTTTTTTATTACATTATCACGTATGCATAGGTTGGCTAAAAGTGGAAACCCTGCAACCCTTCAAATATTATAACTAATAGTTAGATTATATATTACAGTTTCTTAAAGTGTTGTCTGAGATCTCCCCGGGACCACACAATCAAATTGATTTGCCAAATATTAAGTATATTTGCAAAAATGTATAACAATTTCACTCATCTCATTATTTTAATTTGTTAAAAAATAAGATTTTTCATGTAAAAATATTTTATTAGTTAACTAGCTGTACCCGGCCACGCGTTGCTGTGGCTCAGTCTGGTTAAATGGAAAAGAAAGAAAAGAGAAAGCGCACGTTTGTAATATGGAATCGTAAAATCGTAGCGTGTGTTGCTTTTTTTTTTTTTTTTTTTTTTTAAACAAAATTTTTATTGGTTTTTATTTAACATGGTGGCAAGGCCATCAATTAATCAAAACAAAATCGTACTTATACAATTCAAATTATATCAATATAATTAACTCCGTTATACATATAAATAATCTATTATTATTTTAATGTATCCTACTCCCCCCTTTAATCAATGCTATTAACTCTACTTCTATACTCCCTCCCAGCCCC